TACAGACGGGTAAGGAAATTCATGGTCATGCTCTTCGCAAAGGAGTCCAACAGGATGTACTTGGTGGTGCAATTGTGACCATGTACTCAAAATGCAGTGCTCTAAAATTGGCAAGGACGGTGTTTGACATGCTTCCCCAAAAGGATGAGGTTGCATGCTCTTCCTTGGTTTCAGGGTATGCCCAAAATGGGCACATCGAAAAGGCATTGTTGCTATTCCATGATATGCTGATGGCGGATTTGACTATTGACTCCTTCACAATTTCATCTATTATTGGGGCCATTGCACTTTTAAATAGACTTAGTATTGGGACTCAACTGCATGCCCACATAATGAAAGTTGGCTTCAGTTCAGATGTTTCTGTTGGCAGTTCACTACTGACAATGTACTCAAAATGTGGAAGCATTGAAGATTGCTGCAAAGCATTTGATCAAATTGAGAAACCAGATTTAATTTGTTGGACAGCTATGATTGTTAGCTATGCTCAACATGGGAAAGGCGCACAGGCTTTAAGAGCGTATGAGCTTTTGAGGGATCAAGGAATCAGACCTGATTCAGTGACTTTTGTTGGACTTTTATCTGCTTGTAGCCATAACGGATTGGTTGAAGAAGCTTATTTCTATTTTAATTCAATGGTTAACGACTATGGACTAGAGCCTGGTTATCGCCACTATGCCTGCATGGTTGATCTCCTTGGTCGATCAGGGAGACTGAAAGAGGCTGCATGGTTCATTGAGAATATGCCTATTGAACCGGATGCTTTACTATGGGGAACACTGCTTGCGGCTTGTAAAGTTCATGGAGATATGGAGCTTGGAAAGCTCGCAGCTGAAAAGGTTATGGAGTTGAAGCCATGTGATGCCGGGACATATGTCTCCCTTTCAAACATTTGCGCAGATGTAGGCCAGTGGGAGGAAGTCCTGAAGATTAGAAGCCAGATGAAAGGAACTGATGTGAGGAAGGAACCTGGTTGGAGCTTAGTGTAAACTATAATTATACTTTGATTGGTTAGTCTCACTGGTGATTGATTATGATCTTTATCGCAAATTAAAGAAAAATCAACTAACAATAGAAGGGTGAGCAGATCGACACAAAGGACTGCAAGCAAATAAGAATGCTTCACTGTATACTAGATACTAGCGTGTCTCGGTAAATTTACATATGGCCCTTCTCATTCCTTCTTTAGTTTGGTGATTTCTCTGAGATAGATGGAGTTTGGCCCTTTTTCATATTGTCTCAAACTTTGTTTCTCATTCAATTTTTTCTTTGGCTCCGGATAGCGAAATACAATCCCACTTTGGAATGAAACACGGGGAACTTATTCTTACTGAGCATATTGAAGAGACATACCAATGCCTGCTGCTTAAGTTTGGTATTAAGCAGATCAGAGGGCAAGCTACTCAGAAAAGCCAAACTAGTGGGAACATACCAAGCATTCCAAAACAGGGGGATGAAAAACCAGGTGCGTGCGGTTTAAAATGAATAAAAGGAAGAATCACAAAACCATCTTGATGAAACTTAGCATGCCTTGTAAGCCTGTAAGTCCTACTCATTTTTGTTCCTCGACTTTTATCTTCTTCTAGACAAACATATATCGGTTTATTGGATATTTTTCTGTAGTTCGGGGGGTTATACTGTTCAAAGTAAAAGCTTGCAAAAATGGATCTGAAAACGTTGCACTACATTTTTGTTTATTTGTGTTCTAGATCTTATTAAATGGTTGCCATTTAACACGATGCTGCTTCATGTGGTTTAATCCGTCAATGTTCTTGCTATCCAATTCTCTAGTCTAATTTGCCCTTCTATTTTCAGTCTAAATGGGGATTTTCATGTTCGATGCTTGAATCAAAGGTTATAAGCCATCCATGGGATATTGACCTAGTTTAGTACACACTGCGTTGGGTGCAGTTCTTGTTGCTGGCGAATCAATGAAGAATCGGACTGCAGGACAAGAGAACTGAGGCATTACAATGCAGAGATTGGTCCATGGGTTCCAATTCTCTTTTTGTGCTCAATTTAAGGGAGACATTATTGGAGCTTCAACCCCAGTATGAGTGCTCAGTTTTTGTTGTCCTCTTTTGATGCTCTATTTAAGGAGAATAACATCTCAAACTCTGATCATCCTTCTTCAATGATCATAATAACTTCTATAAAATTGTCTTCAGATCTTTCCGGACTGTGATGAATGCACCAAACTACACATTCTTGGAGCTTAGCTATCATAGCTTTTGTTAAATAAAATTGTATGCCGTCTGTGAACTCAGTAATACACACATTCATACCCAATCTATGGCTTTTCCAATATACTCGTACATCTAAGAAACTCAATAAAATAATAGAGCATGTGGATCCAATGAAGTGCACACTTACTAAAAAGGTCCTGTATAATCCGCTTCTTCACAAGAGATAGTCATTTAGCCGGGCACTTCGTTAATACCAACTTCGTTGTTGAAGGACTCAGAACTTTTTAGTGTACTAGTTGGTTTCTGAAAGGCCCGAAACATGATACTCAGGTCTCCATTTTCAATATCTCCGCCAAGTTCTGTGACAAATATGGCTGCAAATGGAAAATAACAATACTTCAATTAGCGACTTAATAGTGGCTTGTGATCTAAGAACACAGAGCAAGCTATTCAGAAGAAAAAAAAAATGGTAGTAAGAATAAAAAGATGAACAAGTACCAATACTTCAGCAGTTAATTACCCACAGAAGCTACCAGAGCACTGGTCAAAAAGCTTGTTACTTCAAGTTTTTGGCATCATCACGAATAATGCCATATCAAGAAGTATATCTGCACCCTAAATGAAGAAATGAAGTTTTCAGCAATCAAGGGCTTCACTGTGAAGTCATGCGAATACCTGGTTTGAATCTTTTTTGTGTTTGCTTCACTAACTTTTTATCTCTAATTCCATCATATAGAAGTTCATAGGCATAATACGTTATATGACCCTTCTTCAACAAATCTTCTACAACAATCTTAGGTGCTGCTATTTCCTTCTTATCAGCCTCAAAGATTGAATTCACAACCTCAGGAACAATGCCTTTCCGCACCATAAGGTAGATGATGCCAACAGCTTCATGAACTCTATGATTCACACAAAGACAATTCAGCACCCTTCCAAATGTCACCAATGAGGGAATGAACCTCTTCTCGATTTTTTCCAGGAGGACATTGTACCCAGAATCAGTATTTCCTGCTTTGCAGAAACCATCAATCATGACACGGTAAGTAAAACAGTCTGGGGCACTGCCTTTGTCACCCATCTCCCAAAATAGCTTTTGTGCCATGCTAACGTTTAGCTTTTCACACAAAGCATTGATCATGATATTGTACGTTGCTGTTGTATGAGATATATTATATTCATTTTTCATTCTTGTAAATAGGTGGTATGCTCCATCCAAATCCCCATTGCCACACAAACCAGTCAACAACGTGCCAAAACATACAATATCTGGAGTCAAGCCCTTGATTTTTATTTCCTGTAGCATTTCCAAGGCCACATTTACTTTCCGGGCTTTGCAAAGGCTTTCTACAAGTATGTTATACGAGATGATGTTAGGAACACACCCCTTCTCCATCATTGCTTGGAAGGTGTGGATCACATCCTCATATTTTGCAGCCTTGCAAAGTCCATTTAACACAGTATTATATGTGATCACGTCAGGAGTAACACCATGACTCCACATGCTATTTATTACCTCGACAGCGCTATTCAGATTCAACTGCTTACAGTAACCATCTATTAATGTATTGAAGGTAAATATGTCAGGAAGGTATCCTCTGGCAATAGCATCACTCACGAGTTTACTGGCATCAGATACATAACCCATCTTGCACAACCCGTTTATAACTAAGTTGTAAGTCCAGATATTGGGACTGCAACCATTTTTTGACATCTCATTCATCAGTTGCAAGGCTTGCAAGATAAGCCCATTCTGTGACAACCCTTTTACCAATGTGTTATAGAGAACAATATTAGGCTTTAATCCCTTTCCCAACGCCTCATCAAATACACCTATGGCTCGGTCTATGTCGCCATCCTGGCATAACCCCTTAATTAACGAGCAATATGTGAACTCATCAGGTTCGAACCCCTTGAAAATGGCATCACTGAGAATCTTATCTGCTTTTTGTATCATACCCAGTTTGCAATACCCATCAATAATACTGTTGTAAGTAAAGGCATCAGGCCGAAATCCATTGTTTACCATTTTACGCATATAGCACTCTGCTTCCTCAACCTTGAAGTTTTTACACAAGCCAAAGATCAATGTATTATATGTGACAACATCGGGAGTTAGACCTTCCATCATAAAACCATCCAACATTTTGACAGCCCCACTGAGTGAACCATTTTTGCAAAGCCCTTGAATGAAAATATTGAATGTAAACACATTTGGAGACACACCCCTCTTCAGAACCTTGTTGAGAAGTTTTTCGCTTTCTTGGACATCCCCCTTCTTGGACAAGGTATGTATAAGCTTGTTAAATGTGGTAACACTGGGACATACACCTTGCCCAAGCATGTCTCCAAACAATTCATATGCCTCCATTCGATAATTCTCTTCATAAAATCCACTTATGACTGTACAATATGCGACGGCATTGAATTCGCACCCCTGAGAAGGCATGTTATTAAGAAGCCTCAATGCAACATGAGGCCTCCTAGTCTTACAGAAAGACTTTATCCGTATCGTATAAGTATACACATCCGGAGCAATCCCGTTATCTCTCATGCCCATATACACTTTATGGGCTTGATCAAAATATCCGTACTCAACCAGTACATTCATGATTGCATTATAAGATTGAACCGAGGGTTCACAATTATAAAATTCCATCCTTTGAAACACATTAACAGCTTCTTCAACTTTTCCTTTCCTTCCATAATTCCTCATGGCTCCGATGTACACCCCTTCTAGTAAGCTATTATCGATATTCATCCTCATCTCGGAAAGCACACGCTCCATGGCTTCAAACTCACCATGAACCCCAAGCTTTTCAATCACGCATTTGTAACTTAGTAATGTGTGCTTAAACCCATCTTCCTTGTTCACTGAATTGAACATTTCAAGCGCTTTAAGGGGATCCTTTTGGCATTTGATAACTGCAGAAACATGCTTAGGAAGCAAAGCGCGACTCATTCGAAAGTTCTATAACTAATAGCTAATAGATGATAACAACATAACCCACAACCCAGAAGAATTTGAAGCTTCTGTAAACCAGTTTTCACTTGCTGAAGCTTTAGCTATCCTGAAACCACAAAAAGGAGAAAGCAACCAAAAAGTATCATCCTTTTTAAATTTACACAAAAATTCATCACTGCAATTTACTCTTAAAGCTCAGTTTGGTTTCTGGGAAACTCTAAAAGAAACGAAAATGAATTGCTACCAGCTGGAAACAAGTGAAAAATTTACCTTATTTGCTTCTCTGCTCTACCTCAGAACCAAAAAGACCAAAACTTCATGTGCTTAACAACAGTATTTTACAGATAGATAAGGTGAATAATCTCCAAATAAAAGGACAACTACCTAAATATAAAAGCAGCGAATGCATTGTGATGGAAATTTCCCAAAATGGATTTTCAGAGAACAGAGATGAGCGTCAAATTGGGGCAATTAGGTTTCAAATTGCAGTGGCAGAGTTACAGAGGGGAAGAAGAAGCAACTACGGAGGTTTAGGTTCTCTGCGGCGAGTGTTTAGTTCGGTTTGGTCCAGTCACAGCTTCTATCGCGCCATGTCATCTTACAAGCGGGACCCAAGATAAACTTTTCCTTTTTAGACGTGGCAAGATCACAGATAAACTACATGAGGCCTCGTGGTCGAGCGCAGTATGCTATCACCGAAAAGTCCCTTCGTTGCCAAGACCCAAACCAGTCTCGTCCCTGAGAAGGAGAGAGAAAAAAAAAAGTTTGAAACTTTGAGAAGGAGAGAGAATGGGAGCGTCGGGAGAATGGCTGGAGAAGGCGTTGGTGGATCTATACCAGAAGATGGAAACGGGTCTGGGTCTGGATAAGGATATGATATCGGGTTTAGTCTCCTACTGTGAGCTCGCTGATCCTCAAGACGCCAAGGAATACCTTGACGTAAACCCACTCTCTCCTTTTTAAAATTCTATCTTTTCATTATTCATTTCCTTTTCTGCAAAAAAAAAAAAAAAAATTTGTTTGTGGATTCCAATTTGCGTACTTTTGTAGAATCAATTTGTCTGAAAACACAGTGATAATGGTTATATTGCTGTCGGATTTTTTTTTGGTTTTAAATTTGGTTTGGAGAGGCATCAATGGGGTTCTAATCAGCCAGTGTTCAATGTTTGTTTGAGCAATTTAAATAGAAATGCCTGGTGGTTACATTTAAAGAGTGGCACACAATTTGCTCCACACCAATTGGGTTTTCCTTTTGTATTATTGTCTTGTTTTGGACTGGATTCTTGACAAATGCTCATGTATTGAAGATTGAGATAATTGTTTGTGTAGTTCCTTTTCTTGTAGAGTCATTTGATGTATAGGTAGCTTATCCTGTGCCTACCCTTTTATGTAGCCTTTGCTAGAAGTATGGTACCAGAAGCTTATTGTGTGTTGGCATCTGAAATTACATGTCTTTCCATGCAGAACATAATTGGGCAAGAGGTGGGTAAGTCTGTGATTGAGGAATATTTACAGAAAAGAGGTCGCGCAGATCTTTGCAGCACCCCAGCTTTCCCAACCTCAAATTTACATGCCTATGTTAAACCACCCTCAAATGAAGGTTCTGCAAGTGGAACCAAGAAACCATTGAAAACGCCAAAAGTGGCTAGAGGCGCCAGTGATCAGGCAGCTTCCAGCAATCAGGTCAAGCAGGATTCAACTAAGACCAGCGAGTCAAGAACCACAAGTAATGCAAACCAAGGTAATTCTAAGAAGAAGAAAGCTGGGAAAGTTGTTTCACTTGCAGAGGCTGCCAAAGGATCCATTGTATTCAACCAGGGGAAGCCATGCTCATGCCAAGCCCGTCGCCATGGACTGGTGAGCAATTGTTTATCTTGTGGGAAGATAGTCTGTGAACAAGAGGGGGAGGGGCCTTGCAATTTTTGTGGAGCTCTTGTGCTGAAGGAAGGCAGCACGTACGCTGGTCTGGAGGAAAGTTTCGCTCCCACATCAGATGCTGAAGCTGCAGCTGAAGCTTATGCAAAGAGACTCGTTGAGTATGATCGAGACTCTGCAGCACGTACAACAGTTATTGATGACCAAAGTGACTACTATGAAATTGAAGGGAACAGCTGGTTGTCAAAGGAGGTTTGTAATTTCTGCCTCTGCTGCTGCAAGAACAAATGTTATCAGTGCTCGTACTTTTATTCATCCACATCTCCTTTCCTGTCCCCCTTCCTATTACTTTCAGGAAAAGGAACTTCTGACAAAGAAGCAGGAGGAGATTGAAGAAGCTGAGCGGGCGAAACGAAGTAAAGTAGTTGTGAGTTTTGATTTGGTTGGCCGCAAGGTAATGAAACTCTTCACTATTGGACTTGAGTGATTGTATGAGTGGAATTTGTTGCGGCAAAACTTTTCTTATGGGTATTGCAGCTGTAAACTTTCTGCAAGTAGGTTTCTGCAAAAATGAAAGGAAAAGAAAGGGCTTATTAAGACTGCCTTTTATTTTTACCCCACTAGCTCCAGCAGTTAGATTTTTCATGATAATTTCTTTTTCTTCCATGTTGCTTTTGCAGCTTCAGTTGGCATCTTCTAAAGGTGCATTTTGCCCCTCTTAACATTTTGTGTTATGCAGGTCCTTGTAAATGAAGATGATGCTTCTGAATTAGAATTAGAAAGCAGAATTTTGAGGCCACGAGATGAAAGGGAAGTGAACCGGATTAAACCAAATCCTACTCTTAAAGTACAACCACTCTTTGTGGATCCAGGCCGTAGTAAGAAGTCTATTCAAGGTAGACAGGCAAAGAAGGGCCCCACCAACGGCTTGTGCTTGGAGATAACCGGGAGGGTGCAGCATGTCAACAATGAATTAAAACAATTTATGATGGATGATCAATTGGAAATAGCCTCAAATGGGAAGTTTTCGGAAGGAACAACCGTAAGTGGGGGTATGCTTGATGATCGTGGAGAATGTTTTCTAGATTACCATTAAGGGAGATATTGGGGTTTCATTTTAAACTTTGCCCCAACTTCTGGTGCTCTGAGGGAGATTCAGAATGCCTTATAGCAATTCACCTTTTCATTGCTTGTAATTTAGGAACATACCTTAGAACAGAAACAAAGAAGATTCCATTGCACCATTTTCCAAAATTTGATGGTATAAAGAAAGGTTGAAATGCTGCATAGACTGTTGTGATTGGCTGTTCTATATACGAGTACCTTTGAGAAGCTTATCAGTTATACTGACGCAATACGAGTATTGATCCTTTTGGTTTTAAATATATTTTGTTATTCGTTTTTAAGGTTCCTTATTTTTAGTATATTAGTGTGAGCCATAAAGTAAAACAAGAAACTCATTGGCGGGAGGCATGTTGTAGTCTTGGAGACCAAGTATAAATTTCAAATTGCTCAATAGTTTCTTCAAGATGTTTGACCCTGCCACATTTTATGCTTTATGGAGCAAAACACCATAGGAATCTGCACAATCTTCGAACCTGAGAAATACCTTGAAATGAAAAAACTTATCTTTCGTTATTATACTAAAAATAAGTATTTGTTCTGGTAACAAATTTGGAACAATTTCTTATATCTGGGCTATCATTTCACATTTTCTGTGTTGAATCACTTGAGCTTAAATAGGTGAGGTAGTATTCCCGTAGAGCAAATATCTAATAACTTTCGCCATATCAGTTTAGCTATGTGGATGTCTACAACCTCCTAGAGCTCGAAGAAAACACTGAAACTAGTTGGGGCTCAAATGTCCGCCCTGCTCCAGGCCATAGCAGCTCAATACAGGGGCAGTAGCTGATGAAACAGTTCATAATCTCTTTACTATTCACTCTGTTAAATCTGAAACTGAGCTTTTAGCTGAAACTTTTGGAGCTTTCCTGATTGCCATCAAGCTCCTCTGATGCAGAACATCATCCCACCTTCCTGCATCAGCAAGAATGTTGGAAGAAGTAACATGATCTTCGGCACCATGCAATGTCTTTGGGTCTGTGAACCCACTAACCAAACATAACCCCCTATCAAAATCACCATGAACCCTACACGCATTAATCAACATCCTCCAAACAACTGCATTTGGTTCTATAGGCATACTCCTCACAAACTTGTGCGCCTCCTCTAGCCTTCCTGCTCGTGCAAGCATATCAATGATGCATCCGCAGTGCTCAATCGTGGGCTTGATATGGTAAAACTTGCACATGGCATCATACAAGTTCAGACCTTCATCAACCAAACCAGCATGATCGCATGCTGATAGAACACCTATGAATGTAACAGAGTTTGGTTCAACTGTCTCAGTACACATTTTCCTGAAAGCAAGAAGGGATTCCTTTCCTTCACCATTGATGGCATGCCCCACTATAATTGAAGTCCATGAAACAACATCTTTCTTTGGCATCTTATCAAACAAAACTTTAGCTCTGGTCATGCTCCCACATTTTGCATACATATCTATAATCGCATTTTGCAGTACAATACTCCCTTGCAGATGATTACTACTCTCTACATAATAATGAAGGTCAATTCCATAGGACAAATCCCCCAAGTTTCGGCAAGCTAAGATTAACCCTACCATTGTTGCTTCATCTGGCCTTAGCTTTCTAGATCGAATCTGATTGAAGAGCCCCAGTGCCTCTTGATTATGCCCGCATTTGACGTACCCGTGGATCATAGAGTTCCACAACGCAATATTGTCATCTGGTACCTCATCCATAACTTTTTTAGCACACGCTATTTGTCCGCATTTGCAGTACAAGTTAGTCAGTGCTGTGCTAATAGCTACAGTTATTTCTGTTCCCCAAGTTGTCATATAACCATGAACCACCTTCCCCATCTCAAGATCTCTACTATTACAAGCAGCCAAAATCAAACTAATAAATGACACTCTATCAAATCCAACACCTCTTTCTCTCATTTTTCTAAACAAAGAGAAAGCTCTTCTGCAATCACTTACACCAGCATATCCTGCAATCATGGTATTCCATGAAATCAAATCCCTCTCGGGCATCTCATTAAACATGCTTGCGGCTGCGTCCATCCGCCCAAACTTTGAATACAAATCAATAAGTGCATTGCATACCTTATTTACCAAATCCAAACCTGTCTTACAACAGTATGAATGAAGTGCCTTTCCCACACTGAACTCATCAAATTCCACACACCCTGAAATCAAAATAACCAAAGTGACATAATTTGGCTTCAACTCCAAACCAAAACCACAACGCAAAACTTCATTGAACAAACCCAATCCCGCATCGAACAGGTTGTTCTTCACAAACCCAGAAAGCATACAATTAACAGTTACAACCGTTTTGTGAGGAATTCTATCAAACACAGCACAAGCATATCCCACCAAACTCTTTGAACACGAATAAAAACTAACTACACTGTTCAACAAATTCACATTATAATCCAAACCAAGCCTAACAACATGACAATGTACAGACTTTCCTTCTCGCAAAGCCGATAACTTGTTACAAGCTTTGATCAAAGAAGCAAACACAAAGGAATCACAAACTGGGTCATTACGTTTTAGCCTTTGCATGGCTTTGAACAGAGAAAAAACCCGAAAAGGTTCGCTCTCTAGGTTGAGCCTGCGGACCATGATGGGCCATGCGGCCACATTGGGTGTTTGTGTGTGGATGAACAAGGCAGTGGCTTGATGAACAGTCGCGGAGCTTGAGAGAGAGAGGCTTAGGAGTGAGAGAAGGCATGAGGGCTCTGAGAAGAGGAGGCCTGTGGTTGTGAGCTGGGCTTGGATTTGAAGGAGGTTTTGGGGAGAGAAGAGGCAAGGGTTTAGGTGGAGAAGATGAACCAGTCTTTGTCTCTGGAGGTGAAACGAGGTGCTCATCAATCAAAGCAGAGTAGCGGTTTGTCTGTATGATTTGATAATTCAAAGCTTTCATCTTGGAGAGAGAAGGCAAAGCTTAATATTGGTCAAAAAATAGTGTGCTATTTAAGTCCCAACGGCGTCGTTTTTCACAAGGTCCTGTACATTTCTTGTGTCCGGGGGACCCAACTGATTGGGAACTAAAATGGCGGGATCTGATTGGGTGAAACAATCATCATCCTATTCTGCCTTAAAAACATGCGATCTTAAAGTCTTTTAATTAACTAACTAGAATTGAAACACTGTGTGTGCGCAGAACACAGAAACAAGCGACTCCGTATTCCTCGGACTCATCGTACTTGTGTTCTGTTTGCAGTGTTAGCCTTGTCGCCTGAGAAAATAAACGAACAGAGAAAAGCCGGCCACAACCCACAATTTCTGAAATCTCATTCCTTTCACCGTTTTAGCAACTACCCACGATTTCTGGCACATTTTGGTGCATAAATAAAGTTGTCTTCTTCCTCTCGATGTCTCTGGCTCTGTCCTTTGTTATGGATTGTAGAAGGTGAAGATGCTTTTGATTTGATTGGACCCCACAAAGATTGTCACTTTCGCTCCCTGAGATCCGGTAAGAGTTTTCAATTCTTTTGATTTAGATAGAATTTTCATTTATTGGATTCTTTACTATCTACCCTGCATTTTTTGACTCTTTTATTTATGGGATTTTGTTGAAAAGTTTTACTTCTTTATTTGAATCAAGTTTTGTGGTATGGTTTTGTTCTTGATTTTGTTCAATTGTCTGTGATTGTTGGTTGATTTCGAATAAATAGAAAAAGAAAAAGAAAACGGGAACAAAGGAAGCAAAAGAATTGCAGTTGGATATGATTGGATGATTTCTGTTTCGATCATTGGGGAATTCACATTGATTGAGCTTAGGGGTTGTGTTAGTCTTAGCTGAGAGGTGGGTTTGGAGGTTCCAAGTAATAAAATATTTGAAACTCTCATATTCTGATTTACATTTTCTGCATATGTTCTTAAGATTTTGTTTATGCCTTCTAAACTAGTGGCTATGTTTCATTCTTGACCCGCTTGCTTATATGTGTGTCCTTGTCATTGTCTCGGTATCTTTTATTAATTCAAACCTGGAAAGTCATATACTAAGAATCACATTTATTTTTGCAAGTGATAGAAATTGTATGAAAAAGGAACGCTAAGGGGGCAAAATCTGACAAGTCTGAGGGTTCTTCAATGTCCACTTATAGAGTCTCCTATTATTCTCGAAATCCTTTTCGAATGCTCAGCCACTTCAAATCTACCCTATATTTCCTTCCATTTATTTAGCAAACGTCATAATTGTTATTGGGAATCTGAAAATACATTCAGGTACATCATGGCGACAAAGGGGAACTCAGGAGACAACAGAAGTCGAAGCTCCGTGTCAGTTTTCATTGTTGCTGGTCTGTGTTGTTTCTTTTACATATTGGGTGCATGGCAGCGAAGTGGTTTTGGAAAAGGAGATAGCATAGCTTTAGAGATTACCAAACAGACAGACTGTAGTATTCTTTCCAATCTGAATTATGAGACCCATCATGTTGGGATTGATGATTCTGAAGGAGTTGTCAATGAGTTCAAACCATGCAGCGATCACTATATTGATTACACTCCCTGTCAAGATCAAATGCGAGCAATGACTTTCCCCCGAGAAAATATGAATTACAGGGAACGACACTGTCCGCCTGACGAAGAGAAGCTGCATTGCCTTATTCCAGCACCCAAAGGATATGTGACCCCGTTTCGATGGCCCCAAAGCCGCGACTATGTACCATATGCCAATGCTCCTTATAAGAGCCTGACAGTTGAGAAGGCTGTTCAGAACTGGATTCAATATGAGGGCAATGTGTTTAGGTTCCCAGGTGGTGGAACACAGTTTCCTCGTGGAGCAGATGCGTATATCAATGAACTTGCAGCTGTGATCCCAATGGACAGTGGGATGGTTAGAACTGCATTGGATACTGGATGTGGGGTAACTTAAATATCTTTTTATTTTCCTTTTTCCCTTTTTCTGATCCTTTAATCTGCTCGGCTGTTTGTACTGCTATTTTCAAATACAACTGTATTCTTGCCCCTCTTTGGAACTTACATCCCAATTCTCAAGTACCTAGCAAAGTTGCAGATTGTCTGTGTTTTGAAATGCCACCTAGTACGATATTTATGTTCACCCGTTTCTATGATGGGTGCACTCTTACTTTGCTTTTGTTGTAGTATTTTTATCTAGCCAATGAAACTTATTTTTTGTGGTCTATATTTATATTTTTTCTTCTATTTGATTTATTATCCATGTTGGTTCATACTTCATAGGTTGCCAGCTGGGGTGCCTACCTGTTTAAAAAGAATGTAATAGCAATGTCATTCGCACCAAGAGACTCTCACGAAGCACAAGTTCAATTTGCTCTGGAAAGAGGTGTTCCAGCAGTTATTGGCGTTCTTGGAACTATAAAGCTGCCTTATCCATCTAGGGCCTTTGACATGGCTCACTGTTCTCGTTGCCTGATTCAATGGGGTGCAAATGGTGATGCTCATAAATTAGCCATTGATATTGATGCCTAATTACATGTATTCATGCATAAATGCAAACATACACACATAGATATATCTGTGTACCCACCTAAGTTCATATGTTAACGACCTTAATTGAGCATAGTCTAGATGTCGGCTCTGCTGAGGCTGCCTTGAATAATCAGGGCTTGTCATTTTTCCATCCAGCTTCCAAGCCACTTATCCCTGCTCATGCTGCCATATATTTATGGCATTGGACAAATGACTTGCTTTACTTTTTATTAAGTGCAGGACATTCATAAGTGATTTTGATTCCTTTTAACTAACGACATGATATCATTTATGACATGAAATTATCCTTGGACTTCTTCTGCAGATGGAATGTACATGATGGAAGTTGATCGAGTTCTTAGACCTGGTGGTTACTGGGTGCTTTCTGGTCCTCCTATTAACTGGAGAAATAATTATGTAGCATGGCAGCGTCCTAAAGAAGAACTTGAGGAAGAACAGAGGAAGATTGAAGAGATGGCGAAACTTCTTAACTGGGAAAAGAAACATGAGAAGGGTGAAATTGCCATCTGGAGGAAACAAACAAGTTTTGACTATGGTCGTGGCCGAGATCCTCAACCTACTCTGTGTGACTCCACAAACGCAGATGATGTTTGGTATGTTGTTTGATTTGATCTACTGACTCTTTTACAATTTGATTGAACATTTGTTGGCCAATTATTTTACGACTGGGAAAGTTCTATATGCACACAATCCTGCTAAGAAGAAAGAATTTTATTGAACTCATACATACTGCTGTGCACTACTTCAGTATTGACAGGGCATGAAAATTATTGCGGAATACAGTCTCTTTTTTCTGCTTTTCTTGTCATATTTACGATTTCTTTTTTCTCTTTTGTCTTATACAGTAAAGTTTCTTCCGTAAATTTGATGAATATAGATGGAAGCAAGAGGAGAATTATAGAAAGGAATTCATAATGTCTGTAAAAATTTTGGGTAACGAAGAGATTGCATTAACTGTAGTTGAATGGTGATATAAACTTCATGTGGTGGATCCAAATTAGTTTCAGAGAAAGATTCATGTAGCTAACCTGAAGCAGTTGGAATAAGTCTGAGTTAATTTGAGAAAGAAATATACAATTTTGTAAAAAATAATTTTAGATTGCTTTGTGTTGATGTAGGATTTCTCTGTCTCTTTTTTTTTTTCAGTTATCAGTTTAGTTGGATGCATTTTTTTTGCCACGTTCCAGAGCAGAATTTAACCTTTTTCTGTTTCTTAGGTACAAGAAGATGGAGTTGTGCATAACTCCTTATCCCGAGACTTCTGATCCCAATGAGGATGCTGGTGGGGCATGGAAGCCATTTCCAGAGAGGCTCAATGCTTTACCTTTCAGAATATTTAGTGGATCCATCCCTGGAGTATCTCCTGAGACATACCAGGAGGACAATAGGTCATGGAAGAAACATGTGAATGCTTATAAGAGGACCAACAAATTACTGGATACAGGAAGGTATCGCAACATTATGGATATGAATGCCGGTCTGGGAAGTTTTGCTGCTGCTCTTGACTCTCCCAAATTGTGGGTTATGAATGTTATGCCTACTATAGCTGAGAAAGACACTTTGGGAGTTATATTCGAACGTGGACTGATAGGCATTTATCATGATTGGTAATTTTCAAACATTCCTTTTCTGTTTTGTTCCTGCTCTGTGGCAATAATTTTTCTCAGAGTGGCCTCTAATTTTGCAGAGGATGAGGATTTAAATAAACACAACCTGCATGTCAATTTTGGTGATCCTTTTGTAATTATTTTTAGTATTATCTTATTTATAAACTCAAAAAAAGCTTCCGAACTATTTTGGGCCAGCTACAAGAATTTTATTTTTCCTTTCTGATCTCTCAGGGCTCTTTTGCAAGAGCATGCTGACACATTTTGTCTTACTACTTGAACCAATCACTTGTCCAGAATGTTTCTTTTCTTTTTTCATATTTTGTTCTCTTATAAAAATTAATTTAACTGCCAAAGTAGAAAGTGGTTAGATATGGTAGAGGTAGCTTGCAGTTGTCTTTTGAAGTTCTCAGTGGATGCCCTTGGCTTTCTTAAATGCTGTTTTTTGTACATGCTATTATTGTGCGTTTGATAATATTTTTGTCTTCCACCAGGTGTGAAGCCTTCTCCACATATCCAAGGACATACGACCTTATTCATGCAAATGGTGTTTTCAGCTTGTACAAGGATAAGTAAGTTGTGTTCGACCCTGCTCCTTTCCATCGATTGCAAATGGTGTTTTTCCAATCAGTCAAAGGTACTTGATCTTTTTGTACTAATAAAAAGCCAATGCAGGTGTGATGCTGAAGACATTCTTTTGGAGATGGATCGGATTCTACGGCCTGAAGGAGCAGTGATTTTCCGTGATCACATGGATGTGCTAGTCAAGGTGAGCAAAATTGTGAGAGGAATGAGATGGAATACGAAAATGGTGGATCATGAAGATGGCCCTCTTGTTCCCGAAAAGGTACTGTTTGCTGTTAAACGGTACTGGGTTGCAGGTGAAGACAATTCTACATCCTCAGAGTGATTAAGAAACAAAAGGGACAATACCACATATTCTGGCCCTCCAGCTCCAAGCAAGGTGTGAGCCAAAGAACGTGACTTCTACAGCATTTTTGTTGATTGCCTTGTTCTTCCCCTCTCTTTGTTTGATTAATTGTTTTTTTAATTATTTTCTAGGCCCTTAAAATCACAGTTCTACAGCATTTTCTTCTAAGTCAATGTTAGTTTTTGTTCTCTTTTTTAATATTTACTTGTAGATTGACCCGTGCAACACTCGTGGATTAAAATTAATGATTTAATTTGATGTTATTATTCGATATCGAATCAATTAATAGTTTTTAATATAAAGTGTTGATTAAGGAAATTGATGATGCTCTCAAACTTCAACTATGTGGCCAATACCAAATTAGCATAACAATCACATACTACCATATCAGTGAGCAAGCAAGCATGTTATGCTTATTTCTAACTTTGGCATAATCTGTACCAAAAAGAAATGCTGCATAATCTAATAGTACTTCACATATTATAAGCAAAACAACAGTAAAGACTTTGTTTATAGTGTTCAAACTTACTAGATGAGATGACAAAGGGGATTTTTTCTTTCACTTGATTCTTATTAGATCAGTGACAAAATGAAGAGTACACGGCACTAGGATGTAGGCCCATCCCACAAGCCTACTTATAGGAACTGGTTCTCAAGAAGCATGGTCATCTCCAATCCTCCGAAAGCTCCCTGTCATTGAAATTAGCTTTTCCCTTTGTCCAATTTTGTGCTTTCTCCCTCTGCTCAATTCTAACCGTACTCTTAAGTATCAAACTTCAAAGAAACCATGGAAGGAAAAGCTAACAACAGTGCTCATACCCGGGATGCTTCATTCTCTTCTAACATCCGCGGAGCAGAAGGGAACTTTGTCCTCGAACTTGCAGGGTCAGTTCAGACTCCCCCTCCTGCCATGACCTTGAGCCGAAAGACTGAGGAGGGAGAAATCAGCGTCTTTGGTGCTGAAAGGTATTTCAACATGATGCTGGAAGATGAGGGTCCAAGAATTGTGGACTATAACACAAGCAAACATGGGCATAATAAGAAAGAAAACAGAACTGGTCAGCACTACAACCAACCAAAGAGCAGGCCAGGAACTCCTAGTACTTGTTCTGAAGCAAGTTGGAATAGCCAAAGCGCCTTGTTACCATCTCTGAGAAACTCATCTCACAATAAGAAGAAAAAGGTAAATGGAAAGATCAAAAGCTTTTCTATTTTCAGCTGCAATGGATGCTCAGATAAGAAAGCCATTTATATTCATGAGATAAATGCTGGGCATGGAGGGCATCATGGTAAAGACGCCAGGAAGCAAAGCGTTCGAATTGATCAAAATCCTGTCAAGCAGTCTCAACCAAGATTCAAGGAAAGAGATGAGCTTTACTACTCTAGCTTTCAAACATCACACAAGGAAGAGCATTTTGCATTCACAAATTTGAATTCTAGTGCACAGAAATCTGCAGCTAAATCACAGTTGGGAGAGAAGAAAATAAAAGAAGAAGAAGACCCACGAAAGTCACTGGAGGTGTTTGGATCCCACATGATGAAGGGAGACATAGTAGCAATAAATCTGGAGAGAAGGCTTTCCATGCTAAGTTGGGATACCATTCCAAAAGCTCAAAGCCTCTCAAATGCTTTGGTGACAGGTCCGGTGATCAATGAAGATGTGGAGAGTGATGCTAGTTCAGATTTGTTTGAGATAGAGAACCTACCCGGAAGTGGACAAACACCGTTTACAAGTCACGCATCTGATGGAATGTCTGTGGCCTCCGCTGCCCAGTATGAGTCAAGTGAGACCGGCATGGAGTGGAGTGTTGTCACAGCCTGTGATGAAAAGAAACTGGCAGCAAACGGCGGAACACCTGATCCAACAACCACTGGCACAGCAGGAGTTGCTCAAAGGTTAGAATCTTCAATGGAAAAGGGGAAAGTTACAGTCTGAGACTGGCAAGAAAATTACTACGTGCAACATGCCTTTGCCTAAGAGGGTTATGATCAAACTATGCAACTGCATTACTGTCTTTGTACATGCCAGAGTAAATGCGCAATGATTTATGAAATATTTGAGAAAGTTTGTCAAACTTCCATCTTTATATTAATCTACAGCTAATCATTTGATTGTTCTAAGTTTGAGATAAGCTTCACTTTCTGATTTATCTTGTATATGTCTTTCATGTCTACTTGTTGATTAAATAAAGATGACAGAAAACTTTTGGTGGGTAATATTAAAACCATACATTCAAAGAAGAACCAACCTTATCAAGTTCAAATTGACAGTCTCACTACTGCCAAATCTATCTCATCAGTGAACATATCTTAAATATCCTTGTGTCACTCAAAGGCAAAACAGCCTAGAAACACTGAAAAGAGAGATTCCAGATTTTTGGGCCATTTACACCAAAAGATTAATGATAGACCACAACCGACCTTGTCCAACATATTTTCTGACTTTTCAGTTCTAATTTTATCTTTGTTTTCTTGATTTACAAGTGGGTGGCCATTCATGTTTTGGATCTTTTTAACGACTTTAACAGAAGCTGCTTTTGGCAAGCCACCTTTTCCTCACTTATGACTTCTATCTTTATAATTCCATAAATCTGTATCTCAAATCTAAGAAACTGAAGGCCCTACAAATGCAGCTCATGCTTGAGAAAGTGCTAACACTCAATTAGTCAGGTTGCCATAAGCTTTCTTTGCAGCCCGACATGGGCACATTATTGAGAGAAAAAGAAAATATATTACAACTTACCAGAGTCAGAGAAAAGCTTCTGTCATGTCAATGGACCCTGCATTAAACATGAAACCACACAGAGACAAAGCAATGAAATTTCATCAACTTTTTAAGGGGCTTGTAGCTCAATTGGTTAAGAGCATTTATCCATGCATCTAAGGTTCTAGATATCGCCATTATCACTTGTATCAAAAGAAGATATCGCCTTTATCTTTTTTTTTATGATTTGACTTGATATAGAGATTTGAAACTCTCAATGGCGCTATAATTAATTAGAAAGATGGACCATTGAGGAATGTCATCATAATGACCCGTCCAACACATGATCTGATGTGAGCAAGTTGGGTGGCGACATTTAATTCTGTAGCCATCTTACAACCAAAGGTGGATCCCATAGTCACTTCTCTCCTTTTCACACAACAGAAACTAGGTTGGGCATCTACATAGACAAGAAGTTCTTTAGCCAATACTATCTTAAAGGAAAGAACAACAGCAAAAGTCTCTGTACAAGCCCATGCCTAAAAGCTATAAAATGGCACTATGGATTGACAGGGATAGATGGACAGCAAATGCAAGAATTTGCTGCTCATCTTCAATGGTGGCAGTTGCAATTTCTGATAATTTAGTTCATATGCTTTGCCTTCCTGAAAGGTCTTGCAATTTCTTACAAAAAATAGTTGAGCTACCAACTTAGTTATTTAGTGATATTTGGATAACAAAACAAAATGTTCACATATATTTGCTAAAATATGAAAACTATGAGAGAATATTTGTTTGTGGGAATTTTCTGTGTATTCTTCTCCTTGTAGGAGGTCATATTTATAATACAACGAAACCTGAATGGGCAAGTAAATAATAAATTCCTAAATCTATTTACAATAGGAAATCAAGAATTAAAGTAAATCAATTATAATTATAATAGGAATTCTTGGTGTGTAAGGAAAGTAAGTCAATATCCACAAGTCACGCCAACATTTCATTACAATTGTGCGATATGCCTTTTTCGGGAGCGCAACATTTTTCACGAAAATTGAACTGAACCACACTGGTTGAATAGTACCAATTCCTATTCCAGTGTGAAGTAGTAACCATACCGGACCAAAGCCCCACACCCCCCCACCCCTACTTGTGCTTGAGGTTTGTCTTGAACTTTCTCTCTTTGTTGGACTTTTTATTTATTTTTGTTCTTGAGTGATTTGCAGATTGTGATTCGTGAGATTGGGTGGGGGTTTTTCAATGTGAGCCAAAATTACATAGAAAGTAGCACAATATTTAGATGACCATGCATTGAGAACATAAGTCCTTTTCCAGGTGCAGACTTCAAATATCTATGTATCCGAAGAATTGCATTCATGTGGTTTTCACTTGGAGAGTGCATAAAGTGACTGGCAACACTCACTGCATAAGCAATGTCTGGTCGAGTATGTGACAAATAGATCAATCTTCCCACTAACCTTTGGTATCTTTCTTTGTTAGTTGGAACTTGATCCGGATATTCTCCAAGATGATGATTCTGAACAATAGGAATGTCCGCAGGTTTGCAATCTAGCATTCATGTGTCTGTCAACAAGTCCAAGACATATTTCCTTTGAGAGAAAAATATGCCTTGCTACGATCGAGCCACCTCAATTCCCAAGAAATACTTGAGTCCACCTAGATCCTTCATCTCAAACTCTGTAGACAGATAGTCTTGTAGCTGTGATATTTCCTGTTTATCATTCCCAGTAATAATCATATCATCAACATAAATTATTAATGCTGTTACCTTTCCTTTCCGATGTTTCAAGAACAGAGTATGATCGGAGTTGCACTGTTTGAAACCATTGTTCTTCATTGCCATGGTGAACCGTCCAAACCATGCACGTGGTGACTGTTTCAACCTTTTGTAATCTATATACTTTTCCAGTTTGAGTAGTATTATATCCAAGAGGAATGCCCATATACACCTTCTCTGCAAGTTCACTATGCAAGAAAGCATTCTTTACATCAAATTGGTGTAATATCCAATCCAAATTAGCTACAAGGGACAATAAGACTCTGACGGTGTTTAACTTTGCAACTGG